CATATTGAATTTTTTTCCTAATTCCAATCCAAAGTTATTGTTTTTCATTTGGTGCAACCCATGTAACAACCTCACGTAAAAAGAAGAAAAAATCCATATAGCCGGAACGTGTTTGGCTTTGTTTGAACGTGATCATGTGTGGTGCCTTTTCATGCCGGAGCAAAAGTTGTGTTTTTTTACATATATAATGCAAGTCGTGTTCGGTTTCCTATACCGAGACACATCCCTATGTTTTTTTTCCTTTAGCACATCTCCTCTCACGTGATCACACATATACGTCTCCGATCCAAATGTGTGTACGTGATTTTTTTTGAGGGGTTTGTACGTGATATTATTGTACGTGATTTAGCTGCTTGGCAACCGTGTTTTTTTACCGGAGGTGGCAGCGCGGGGCTAAGACTCTTTATAGTTGGCAGCCATGATCTTTTTTTTTCGATGGCCGTGCCTTCTAATAGTCCGTGGCATATACTCTTTAATAGAAAAAACTTGTGACTTGGACCATAGATGTGGCGACCTATTCTTAGGTGCTATGCCAAATTGTGGCACACAACTATATTTGTATGTAACGCTATATCTACCAAATCTTAACCGTTAATATATTAAATTGACGATCAAGATAGTTTAATATATGTGGATGAACGTGATGTCTTGTTTGACTCTTGTTTTAATTATATAATAGATAGATGGCAAGCATCCGAATTGTTGGATGTTTCCTTTCACTTTCCGGACTATTCTTCTCAAATACGCCATGAATCACTACCAATCGAAAGTTGCTGACAAGCGGGTGTCCTACCTGTCCCAGAGGCGTTTTGTTGCTCGTCTACACGATTTTTGTAGTGGTGTCTGGCTCATGGAGGAGTGGAAAACTGTATCAAAAATGTTAACTACATAAAAAAAATGTCTGCTAACATTCATTTATTTTATTCATGATTATTACTTACATATTTTGCCGTATCTTTTCTATCAACCTGAAATTTTAGGCCCCTAAGATGGTTTGTGCTCTCGTACAACCATTCATCATTATCTAATCTACTTCATCTATTATTATTTATGAAACATTCATCTGGCCGGCCTGCCTCCCATACTACACATTATTTACATATTGTAGTGTATCTTTTCTACCAGCGTTGAAATCATGGGCGTTTAATTCTCAATAAAATGGGTTGTGCTGCCATATACATTGGACATTATCCAGTCTATCTATATTTATTAATGGAGTCCCGCCATCTGCCTCCCTTACTGCCCATTATATAAGAGAGGTGATACACATCATTAGCTCTGTAGATGCCATGCATACTTCCTCTTCCCGTGCCACTAGTCAGTGTTCTGCACACATACAACCCTCCTCGGCCAAACAACATGTCACATCTCCTCATGTTCTTGGCTGATAAACTACTCTATCCTAAGCATGGGAGGTGTCAGGAAGTTCCCAGCGATCAACCTCCTCCACGACTGAATTATCATAGCTAACATCCCTTGGGCGAGAAGACTATCATGCATGCCCAACCGATATCCATAAATGGGTTCTTGTGAATCATCGACTCATTTTTGTTTGCTGTTTGGTCCTTGGCGCACTCATGAATCATCGACATGATGACTCTGTTTGCCCACATGGCCGATCTGCAGCGGATGTGTATTTGAATTATGTAGCTCCAGAGATAGATGCCACTCATTCCAGAGATAGGGTAGCAATCATGGGCCGGTAAGGAGTCTCTGTATATATGTCAGACATATACATCAGTTACTAGTTATCTCATGCTAAATATCCATACAGTGTGTGTCCCTTTGATACTATATGATTGATCTTTATGCATGGCATTGCGGTCAACGTCACAAGACAGACACATCATCTTATGCCGTGTGGTTGAGATGGCAACAGAACAGTCCAAGACGCGCCGCGTGCTACATCCATTCCACGATGGCCACATGAGCATGTTAATAGATCTTATCTTGATTTATATAATTATTTCCCCGTCTGAGTAATATGTATTAGTAGTAATAAGGACATGCATCATGCGGTTTAGGCTGGCTTGTGTGTGCAGCCGAGGTGCACCTTGTTAGGCCAAGTCATATGGATCACGGTCAGTTTGCCGGGTCCTGTGCTTGTGCGAGTGCTAGTCGTGTGGCCGTTGAGCAGACTCCCGCATGCATGTACGTAGTAGTGATTTAGTTGCTGCATGGAGCCGTTAGCAGCATGGTCGGGTCATTGATCGTCGAGAGATTTCAGGTCTGTTAGGCAGGACGTGCGTGCGTGGAGTTGGTGGCCAGGGTGCGTGTGTGTGCTAGCCGGAGTATAAAACCCCCTCGCCATGTACTGATCAAGGTGCGCCGGTTTGTTGCCGCGCCACGGTGACGGTATGTGCCGAGCCGAGGGGGAGGGGCCTAAGAAAGATGTAGTCTCCGTCGGGACCGTGGTATGCGCCCGGTCGATGTGAGAGTTCTTCCGAGGTTGTGCTGCGTGTGCGTGTGTGTACCTCCATGTATGTGTGTTTGAGTAGTTGAGTTGAATAGAAGCCAACATACAGGCCGTTCGTCGGCCGTGGGGTTCGTCGCCAGGGGGTCTGATTCGGCTGTGTCGCCGAATGGCAGCCCCAACAATTGGTATCATGAGCTGGTTCATCTTGAGTGTCGTTCCCTTGCCGGAGGCGTGCCGGCGGTGGCGGCGTTCACCGGCGGCTGCGCGGTGAAGCTCCAGGCCGTGTGTCGGCCTGTGGAGGTGCGCGGCACTGTGGTTGCCATGGCGGACGCGGAGGCGGCACGCGGTGAGTCCATGGCGTCTGGTGCAGTCGGGCTCGTCGGGCGCGTCGGATGCGCGCGGGACGCACTGGTGCGGTCGGGCTCGTTGGGCGTGTCGGGTGCGCGCGGAACGTGCGGGGCACAGAGAAATGCCAGGCGTGTGTCGCCGGCGAAGAAGGAGCTCGGCGTGTGTCGCCGGAGTTGTGACGGAGACGGTGCGACCGGCCTCGGTACGCTAGGTCGGGTCCACGCCTCCACGGGCTGGGTCATGGCCGTAACGACGGCAACAACGTGAGAACTGCGACAACAACGGCCGTTCGTCGTTGAATAGAAGCCAACATACAGGCCGTTCGTCGGCCGCGGCGTTCGTCGCCGGGGGGGCTGGTTCGGCGTGTGTCGCCGAAGGGCAGCCCCAACAATATGGAAATGCCAAAGAGGAGGAGAGTCAGTAGAGACAATTATTTGGATGTGAGGTGGGACCCCTTCCGTTTACATCACCTGGCCAAGCTAATTGGGGAAAAAAACCAGCGATCCTATTGCAGCTATGGGGTCGTCATCTATTCTTGTTGCTACTGCTACAGATCTGGGCATCAGTCCACATGCACCATTTGAAGTTAAATGGTACATCTCTGCAACGGATACAAGGATCCTTAGGTCGCTTGAACCGGTTAAAAGATATATTGAGCACAGTCATGCATATATGGAAATGGGTTCATCTCCTACAAGTGAGTCAATTGCAAGAAACTACCACATTTGCGGCTAGGTTTGCGGAAAACCACCAAGTCGCTAATCCGTTGCAAAAAACACCGTAGTTTCTCTAATCTCATTGCAAAAAGCACTGATCGGGTGATTTGGGTTGTTTGATCTCTTTCTGACAAGTGGGGCCTCATTGTAAGGAGCTAACATGGCAAAAATTTAACACGCACACCCCTGAAACAAATAAGAAAACGCAATCAGCCCCTCCTCCCGATTTGGGCTGCCGAAGCAGAGCGCAACACGCGGGCGTGGGGCTCGTCGCCGGGGAGCAGAGGGCATGGGCAGAGCCGCGCGGCTGCTGCGGCAGTCGGCAACGGAGCTGGCCGGGCGGGTGGGCCGCACCTCATCCCTGCGGTTCGTGTCCTGCCGCTGTGGCCCGCCTCTGCTCGCTCCAGTGATGCGCTCTGCCGTGCCGCTGCTTGCACTACCGCTTTGAGCGCCACCGCCCCTCTTCTTGCGCCGCTCCGCTGCGCACTGCCGCGCCGTTTCTCGATGCAGTAATGCGCGCCCCCACCAGCGCTCGAGCTACGCGTGGCCGCGCCGCTGCTTGCGCCCTCGCTGGGTGCCGCGGCTTGCTCCGCTTCTACACCTAGAAGAAAGGAGGCGGCGAGCACCTTGGCCCAGCCCGCGGTGGCGATGCAGTTGGCCGGCGGTGGCTTGCGGGAACGACGGCGAGGGCCTGCGGGTTATCCCGATCCCAATTGGATCGGGATAAGGGAGGGATTTGTATTGGGTGTTGATTGCGTTTTATTTTAGATTCCAGGGGTGTGTATGTCAATTCTTTGCCAAGTCAGCTCCTTAAAATTCGGTCCCACTTGTCAGAAAGCGATCAAACGGACCAAATCACCCGATCAGTGCTTTTTGCAATAGGATTAGAGAAATTGCGGTGTTTTTTGCAACGGATTAGCGACTTGGTGGTTTTCTGCAAACCTAGCCGCAAATGTGGTAGTTTCTTGCAATTGACTCCCTACAAGTGGTGCTACTGCTGGTGACAGTAAAGTTGCTCAAGGAATCCGGAGTTGTGTCAGCCTGATAATTATTTATATGCAAGGGATGCCTTCTTTCAAAGGGACCTACAGGCTGGCGCTGATAATGAAGGTGCAATCAGCTGGATGTGGGCTTGCCCAGCTACTCCTACTCCAAGGGCTCAAGACTGGTATGTTCACATACACGATAAGCAGGAGGTGAAGAGGGGACTACTACAGCAAAAACAGAGCAACACTGAAGGAATTAATGTTAGTGCCGTTTTTCCTGGTTTCATAGTTAACAATGCTCGCATGCTTCACGTGCATGATAGCTCATCCATCACTTGCATCACATGCCCTCAACCACAAGGTTCATGCTGGAGGTGGCTTGAATGGTGCCGAATCGAGAGATGTCCCAAGCTGCATACTGTCTTTTATACTCCCCAACCAAGTAAGGGTGATAGCTTCTGTTATGAGTTGGCCACATTTTGGGCATCTGAACTCCCAGAGGCATGCTACATCTGTGATTGGAGTGCAATACATATGTTTTCCTTTGCACACCTAGTACTATTGCACCTGGACCATTGCCCTAGGCTCATACATGTGCTTCCCTTGTCTGACTCTCTGGACACTTTGCCTCATATGGATACCCTGGAGATTGTGTGTTGTGGTGATCTAAGGGAGGTCTTCACTCTGGACCCTAAGCAAAAGCGCCAGAGAATTATAGGATGCCCCAAGCTAAGGCGCATTCACCTGTACGAGCTCCCCAGCCTGCAGCACATCTGTGGGAGCAGGATGTCCGCGCCCAACTTGGAGACCATCAAGATCAGGGATTGCTGGAGCCTCAGGAGCCTACCAGCCGTTAGCAGAAACAACGAGAAGCTGCCTAGTGTGGACTGCGAGAAGGAATGGTGGGATAACCTGGAGTGGGACGGGGTGGAGGCGAACCACCACCCTTCACTCTATGAGCATAGCCATTCGTCATACTACAAGGCCCAACAGCAAAGAGGCACAGTACTAAGATGAGATACATATGACCTATCTCTCTTTTTTTGACGCGAATAGCAGGAGCTCTGCCTTTGCATTATAGAAGAAAGAGAAGTCATTACAAAACCAGTTGAGCCTAACTCAGACACCGTACCCACGCACTCAGAAAAATATGAAAACAACACATCACGGGACATGGAATCATGTGGCCATCCTCTCGTTCGCAGACGATCAGCCATCCAGTTCCTATTTTGCAGGAGCAGCCACAAATAAAACTTGACCTTTCCTTCCGTCTTGCACCTCCACACCCGGTCCAAACCCGGCATCACAATCCTAGCTGCAAACTGAATTTCATAAGCAGAGCAAGCAGAGTATGCAGCATTTGCAGTGAAGTCCCAACTGATGCAATCTCTGTTGTTGGACAATGTCACATTCTGCACCTCCCCCCAAAGCCCGACAAACTGCTCAATCTGGGCATCAGTATGCATACGTTGTAGCCCTTTCATCCATCGCCCATTGTCCATCGCCTCCTTGACCGATAACTTTTTGAGGCGGGTCAACTTGAAGATTTCATCGCTAACTTGCTTAGAGTGCTAGCCAGCTTGTTTCACCATTCTAATTTGTACTACTCTAGTTCGGATACTATGTACTATGTGTAGTGAACCAATCATCTCATTGACGATTTGTTTTTGCTGCACCGTAGGTAATCAGTTCCTTCCATGGGACATGAGCGTCGGTCCTGTCATCCTGTGGTGCTCCCTAAGCGGCGGATATCTTTGCTGCAGTGTATCGTTTCGTGTTGCTTTCCTTACTTCATGTTGTTTTGATTGCTTTGGTTGTGCTTTTGCATCTGCAATGCCAAGGTGCGGAGACTTTGCAGCTGCATTGATCTGCATTGCCATGGTGTGGTAGTGCCATCCTCAGAGTTTGGTTTGGTTTGATTTGATTTGGTTGGTTTGGTCAGCTCCACTCGACTGAGCCACGTATGCGTCATGTTGCTTAGCTTTGAGCGAGATGGAGAAATAAATGAGAGTGCATTCAGCCTAGGCAATATGAGCGACCTGCCTGCTCATGTTGCTTACCATGCATGCTACTACTGTGTGATTGTGCTGTGGTGCGTGATTTGTCAGCTATGGATTGATTGTTGTAATAATAATTGAACTATTACTCCGGCTTCTTGCATGAATATTGTTGATGATTTGTACTGTATTATTTAATCCATTGCTTGATTAAGGTCGCTGCAATTCTGCGTTTCTGGGTCGCTGTAATTCTGCGTTTTTTTCCTACTCATTTGTTTTTTTCTATCCCACGAATCAAATAAGCCCTGAGAATGTTTTCAGATGGAGTGGTTGACTCAACAGGAAGTCCTTGCTCTGTGGCCACTCGCAGATCTCCTTTTCTACTTACGCCCTCGCGTTATCTCCTTAGCCTAATCGGTGCAGCTGGACGATCCAGGCCAATTGCTGCTGGATTTGGGGGAGGCGAGTCGGCGGCAGCGGTTAGGCGGAGCCGTGGAGGTGGCTTGGAATCGAGGAGGCTACGCATCAGGCGTGAGAAGTTTCTCTCTCCCTCTACGCAGCGGAAGAGAAGGCTTGCTGACCCGTCTTGCAACCGCACCTATGCCTGTTCCATTATAATTAGGTCCGTGCCTCATCTTGTTTCGTTAGTGTGTTCATTTGCTAGGCAATTTCTGATGCATGTGTGTATTCATTTACTTGGTTGTAGCAACCTTCTTGTCTTTTGGTTTGGTCACTGCCCGACAAACTAGTTGTTGGGGATTGAGCTTTTGTCATTCTAACTATCTAAGGAGATTCATGGCGATGAACAATCAAACAAAAACTTGTTGTTACTTACAAACTGAATAAGAAAATTTCTCAAAAAAGGGGGGATAATACTCTCAGTCCTCTTGTTCTGTTTTTCTTTGCTGGTAGGAATAGCAATATTGTTCTCCTCCTTCCTCTCTCTCTCTCTCTTTCCCTGTATCCAAGTAAATAAACAGAGAATCAGAGTTTGAGAGAACATTTTCCCACCTTATTCTCTGTATCCAAGAAAATTTCTCAAAAAACAAAAGGGGATACTAACTGGGTGCTGCTGTTGTTCTGTTTTTCTTTGCTGGTAGGAACAGCAATACGGTTCTCCTCTCTCTCTCTCTCTCTCTCCCTGTATCCAAGTAGATAAACAGAGAATCAGAGTTTGAGAGAACATTCTCCCACCTTATTATCTGTTTATCTCCCTTCGAAATTCTCATGTCCTTTTGACGATTTGAGCTATGTTGTTTGGTTAAGACGTGAGATTTGTTCTTCCATACAGAGATATAGCACAATTTTTTTTCCTCATAGGCTGCTGCAGATATTGAGAAATCACCTCCTTTTTCTTGGCGCTCTCTTTTCAAAAAGAGAGAATAACTCCATTCTGTTTGAATATTACCAAAATGAAAATAGCCTGTCTTGTGCATGCCAGCAAGAAGCAGGTCACCCTTAGCTGTGTTGTGGTCTGAGTCTGACTATGCATGGACTGAAATTCAGGTTTACCTATGTTCTTGTGTATGCCAGTACGAACTCTGCACTTGAAGAAGAATTGGATTTCAATTTTTGTCCTATCTTGTGCTTATTTTCCTTCTATAGAAATGACACAACCACAACTTGTAAGAACTCTCTGCATGAATGAAAATTGGCAGTACTGCACACATTGTCTGTTTGATCCTTCACTCTGTTCCTTTTCTCTTGCCATCCAGAAACCGCCAGTGCTCCCCGCAGGCTATGTGTGTGGATACTGCCATCGCATCATCGACCAGCATTGCCACCGTCTTTAAAATTTCGGATGAAACGAGTTTTCAACTCCGCCCATGATCTAATGCAGTCATCACCAAGCATCACTGCATGTGGACCAGCAATACAGAATTTTTGTGCGTCCGTCTGTATTTTTTAGCAATACAGAATTTCGTACTAGGCTCGCACACGCTGTGGCCCAGCAAAACCAGCCCACTTATTTGCCTGCCCATGTAGCTACAAAAAGCCTATTTCTAGCCCTGTGCGCCAGATAGTCAGAGTTCACACAGGGCGCCCAAGACTGGGCCGGCGCATTTTGTTTTTCCATCCTAATTTATTTTTATTTATACCCTATTTCCCACACGTTATTTGACGCAACTAGCATCATAGTAGCTCCCACGCATCTGCCCTAAGAAAAGATAAAATATACATATAGATTTTGTTCCGTCCATTCAACAAGTAGCTCCCAATTTTTTTTTAATTATCCCTGGGGTGGGCCAAACTGGACTTGCCACGTATTTCTTTTTCTGTCGGACGGACGAGCAGCAACAAATGGCACGAGGGGATTGAACTATGGACCTTCCCTATTGTGCCGACGGATAAAATTAACTCAACTAGCTTGTAATTATGATAGGAACGGTCTTGGAATTTTATACTAAATCACACCAGTTTTTATACGTCTCTAAGTTGTGTGGAAATAAAGAGGTTGTGTGAAAATAAGGAAGTTGTCTCGAGAATTATGAGGAGAACGAGGGGCTCCATTTTTTCGTCCTAATTTATTTTTATTTATACCCTACCTACTAATAAAGCAAGGTGCGTTTCTCCTATTTTTTCATCCGTTCACCATCGAAATTTATTTTTATATTCGAGGTGGTATTAAATTTTTGTGCGTCCGTCTGTATTTTTTAGCAATACAGAATTTCGTACTAGGCTCGCACACGCTGTGGCCCAGCAAAACCAGCCCACTTATTTGCCTGCCCATGTAGCTACAAAAAGCCTATTTCTAGCCCTGTGCGCCAGATAGTCAGAGTTCACACAGGGCGCCCAAGACTGGGCCGGCGCATTTTGTTTTTCCGTCCTAATTTATTTTTATTTATACCCTATTTCCCACACGTTATTTGACGCAACTAGCATCATAGTAGCTCCCACGCATCTTCCCTAAGAAAAGATAAAATATACATATAGATTTTGTTCCGTCCATTCAACATGTAGCTCCCAATTTTTTTTTAATTATCCCTGGGGTGGGCCAAACTGGACTTGCCACGTATTTCTTTTTCTGTCGGACGGACGAGCAGCAACAAATGGCACGAGGGGATTGAACTATGGACCTTCCCTATTGTGCCGACGGATAAAATTAACTCAACTAGCTTGTAATTATGATAGGAACGGTCTTGGAATTTTATACTAAATCAGACCAGTTTTTATACGTCTCTAAGTTGTGTGGAAATAAAGAGGTTGTGTGAAAATAAGGAAGTTGTCTCGAGAATTATGAGGAGAACGAGGGGCTCCATTTTTTCGTCCTAATTTATTTTTATTTATACCCTATTTCCCACACGTTATTGGACGCAACTAGCATTATAGTAGCTCCCACGCAGCTGCCCTAAGAAAAGATAAAGTATACATATAGATTTTGTTCTGTCCATTCAACATGTAGCTCCCCAATTTTTTCGGTTATCCCTGGGGTGGGCCAAACTGGACTTGCCACGTATTTCTTTTTCTGTCGGACGGACGAGCAGGAACAAAGGGCACGAGGAGATTGAACTATGGACCTTCCCTATTGTGCCGACGGATAAAACTAACTCAACTAGCTTGTAATTATGACAGGAACAGTCCCATCTTGGAATTTTATACTAAATCACACCAGTTTTTATATGTCTCTAAGTTGTGTGGAAATAAAGAGGTTGTGTGAAAATAAGGAAGTTGTCTCGAGAATTAGGAGGAGAACAAGGGACTCCAAAAATTATTGCCGGAGGTAACTTGCATGTGCCAATAAAAGACAATATGATAGTTGGCTATAATGGAAAATAAAATTGTGGGCACGTGCTGATAAAAGAGAATAAGCTGGCTCTGGTGTAATTAATAAAATTAATGGGCACGTGAACGCAAAAATAGTTGAAGATAATAAACCCTGATAATGAAGGGATATTCATGTCTGGTTATGCACTGAGTATGGTTATGAAACATAATTTATACGCTGCAATTAGTAATCCATCCGGTTAGGTCATCGTAGGAGAAAGTGGTCGAAGCAACCATGCTTCGAAGGTCGTCGCGCAGCACCAAATGAGTACGTAACCACAGCTCCGAGACGGAGGTGAACCCAGAGAAAGAAAATGTCCCAGTTGGGTGGTCGCCACCACGCCGACCAACCCCATCACTATCCAAACCTTGTGGGCCAAATATGACACATGAGAAGACAGCAGCTCCTCGCTCTGTCACCCTCCGCCGCGGGGACAATTTTTGATGAACACATCAATTATCTCACCTGCTGCTTGTTGCAAAAAAATTATCGCCCCGTTGCAACGCACAAGCATATGTGCTAGTATTTTTATCGATGTTAAACCATTTTTTTAGGATGTAAATTTTGAATAAAATATATTTATTTTAATGATATGTCAGTTTTAGTATAGAAGCAAATTAATTCAAATAAGTGTTATCAACATGGTCGAATAACTAGGAGAAAAAAAGTACAAAATATAAAATGTGGATGAATCTAGGACCCAAGGGCGTGGATCACCGTGCAGATGAGAGTGCAATGATAAACTATGTGCCCATAGTTTTAATGATCATGTAAACTTTACAGGCAGTTCACAGTAGCAGAACAGTAGGAAAACCCATTATCCTAACCATAACAAGGTCACAAAAACAAAACATTGTGCCGATTAGAACATTTAATGCAAACGCCTGCCAGAGAAGGAACCTTAATCAAGCAATGTATCAATATAATATGCTGCATATGGGATCTTAATCAAGCAGTGGATTAACACAAATCATCACCAACATTTATGCGCAAGTCGGAGCAATAATTCTCAATTATTATTACAATGATCAGTCCATAGCTGAAAAATCACACACCACACCACAACACCACACAAGCTGAAAAATCACACACCACACGACAGCATGTAAGCAGCTTGAGCAGGCAGAGTGCTCATCGTCACACTGCCCAGGCTGAATGCACTCTCTTATTCATTTCTATCTTGCTCAAAGCTTGTAACATACATCTTCTATCCAACCAGATGATGTATGCTTACTTTGATGCGCAATGGCTCAGTTGAGCGGAGCTGACCAAACCAATCAAATCAAATCAAACCAAACTCGTGGATGCACCACCACACCATGGCAATGCAGATCCATGCTGTTGCAGAGGCGCTGCGCCTCGGCAGGGCAGACTCAAAGCACAAACCAAACCAATCAAAACAATAGGGAAAGCAACATGAAACCATACATCGCAACGAAGACATCCACTGTCCAGGAAGCACCACAGGATGACAGAGTCGACGCTCGCATAGAGATCGACCTATGGAAGGAACTGATTACCTACGGTGCAGCAAAAACAAATTGACAATGAGATGATTGATTCACCACACACACATAATATCAGAACTAGAGTAGTGTTAGATTGGACGGTAAATTATGTTGACTGGCACTATAATCGAGTTATCGATCAAAGGAGACATGGGCCATATGTATCTGACCTTAAAACCGTGCCTCTTGGCAGTTGGGCCTTGTAGTATGACGAGTGGCTATGCTCATAGAGTGAAGAGTGGTGGTTCTCCTCCACCCCCGTCCCACTCAAGGTTATCCCACCATTCCTTCTCGCAGTCCACACTAGGCAGCTTCTCTTTGTGTCCGCTGACAGCAGGAAGGCACCTGAGGCTCCAGCAGCCCCTGATCTTGACGGTCTCCAAGTTGGGAGCGGACATCCTGCTCCCACAGATGCACCGTAGGCTGGGAAGCTCATACAGGTGGATGCACCTTAGCTTGGGAAACCGTATAACTTTTTGCTCCTTTTGCTTAGGGTCCAAAGCGAAGACCTCCCTAAGATCTCCGCAACACACAATTTCCAGGGTATCCAAGCAAGGCAAAGTGTCCACAGACTCAGACAAGGGAAGCACATGTATGAGCCTAGGGCAATAGTCCAGGTGCAACAGTACTATGTTTACAGAGGAAAACACACGCATTGCACTCCAATACCAGATGTAGCGTGCCTTCAGGAGTTGAGATGCCCAGAATGTGCTCAACTGATGACAGAAGCTATCACCCTCACTTTGTTGGGCAGTACGAAAGACAGTACGCAGCTCGGGGCACCTCTCGACTCGGCACCATTCAAGGCTCCTCCAGTATGAACCTTGTGGGCATGTGATGCAAGTGATGGAAGAGCTATCATGCACGTGAAGCATGCGAGCATTGTTAAATACAAAACGAGAGGGTGAATCAGCACTAATATTAATTCCTTCGATGTTGCTCTGTTGTTGCTGCAGTAATCCCCTCTTCATCCCCTGATTATCTTTTAAGTGAACATACAAGTCTTGAGCTGTTGGAGTAGGAATAGCTGGGCAATCCCACATCCAGCTGATTACACCTTCATTACCGGCGCCAGCATGCAGGTCGCTTTGAAAGAAGACACCCCTTGCATATAAATAATTGTCAGGCTGACACTGACTCCAGATTCCTTGAGCAGCTTCACTGTCACCACTTGTAGGAGATGAACCTATTTCCATATATACATGACTGTGCTCAATATTTTTAACCGGCACAAGTGACCTAAGGATCCTTGTATCCCTTGGAGAAATGTACCATTTAAAATCAAAGGACGCATGTCGACTGATGCCTAATTCAGTAGCAGTAGCAACATGAATAAATAATGATCCCACAGCTGCAATAGGGTCCTTGGGCTTTTCTTCCCAATTAGCTTGGCCAGGTGATGTAGATCGTGTGGTGTCGATGTGCAGTACCTTCAAGACATTTGTCCTTCTGCTCTCTAGTGGCCATAATATTGCACAGAGCTTCTTGCAGCCCAGCAAGATGAGACGCTGGAGGTTTGGAGCTTTCACTTCTCTGAGGTCGAAGGTTTTCACTGCTGTGCCTGAGAGGTCCAGCTCCTTGAGGCTCCATAGATGTCCTTTCAGTAGTATACTGTTCAACTGAGAACAGCCCTGGAAGGAAAATCTAGATATGATGGAGGAAGGTGAATGATAATCACATACGAAGGTGAATGACTCGAGTGATGGGGGAAGCATGCTGGAGACAACATGTTGCATAATAACACAATCGACAAGGATGACTGTCTTAAGGAAGCTTGTAGACAGGTCAGGCAAGTAGTATTCCTTTCGCAGGTCAGGCACTCGTCCTGAGTAGTCAGATTGTACATGGACCTTGACAAGGGAAGGTCCCCTGCCACGTAAATCACTTATGCTCCAATCCTTGACTCTCTGTACATACAGCTCCCTGAGGTCAGCCATAAAGCTCATCATCTCTTCTGATAGTAATCGATACCAGTTTGTATACCTCAGGTGCAGCACCCATAGCTTCTGGAAGCATGACAGGTCTTCGTTGTAGCTTGGATGCTTATTAGATGGGATATTTCTGCATTCATTTAGCTGCAGGAACCTTAGCTGGCTGCAGCAAAGGAAGGGAGGGGATTCAAAACTAAAGCCGCACCAAGAGAGATGTAACACGCGCAGCTTGCTGCTGTGTGAGTGTTGGAATATGCCTTCTCGTAATGTTGTCATCCTCGTGCCATATCCATTAGCTGGTACAATGAAAAAGGTTGTCGCCTCAGAATGCAACAAGCCAATCTCATCAGGTAGCACGTCATCCTTGTGTTCCCACAAAACCAAACGGTCATGAAGCCTGCACTGAAGGTGGCGACGAATGTCATCACCAATGGACATCAGAAACAACCAATCTAAATGCATGTTCCTTTGTAGAGCATCGGCAACTCCCCATGCTGATGTATCACCTTGCCCTTGTATAATCCCATCGCATACCAAGTAGTTTGAAGCATGGTTCAGCCACTTTCCAAAGTAAGGGCTCCTGCCAGATCCCAGTGCATATATGTACTGGAAGCACTTCTCAACTATCACTTGGTTCATGTAAGGCTCTGGAATACCCATATAAGTAACAACCTCTTTGGCCTCTTCCAGTAATGCTTTGCCACAGATCCAATCATTATGAGAATAATTGACAACAACATCAGTATGCTGCTCCATTGTGTATTTGAGACAAAAATCGGGTCGAAACCTCCCATGCCAGGTCCACAGCACCTTATTATTCAAAATTGGTATTAGTGGAACACCACACTCGTACAGATCAATGTATTTGTCAATCCCATTGTGAAATATCACCACAAATCTACTGATAGCAAGCTTTCTGAAGATTTCTGTTCTGATATCTGGTATCACCCCTCGAGAGCCTTCGTCTATCCCACTGAAATCATCCTCCTCGTCCTGCCGATCGAAGATAGCCATCACCGACGGCGGAAGCTCCAGCTCGTCCGCGACTGCCTTCTGCAGGGCCCTCATGCTTTTCCACAACGAGCAGTCCACGTGAACAACCCTGCCAAACGTTGATTTTGATGATTTCAGGCGTTGCGCTACTGCCTTGAGTGCCGCTGATGCCCCAAATCCACGCCAACCACGGACGAATATCACATTTCCTTTGCTTGTATCCTCCAAAATGCCAATTATCTCTCTTGCTGCAGCATCGATGTTTTTTGCCTGGATCTTGATCTCCTGCAATGTTCAATCAACAATAAAGATATCAAAATGAGGTTTATCCCTTTAGCCTTCTCTATTTAATTCTTTCATTTCAAACTACAAGGCACAGCATGACCAAAAATGGAAAAGTTCCTAGAAATGAATACTACTAATGAAGTTCTAGCTCACTACTCAGTAGCTAGCTAATGAAACCAAGTTACAAATCTGCATCAGTAATCATTGAAGTTCTAGGTGTGTGATGGACTACCTCCGGTGCAGACATGATGAATCAAATCAATCCTTCAAACATCAGCAACTCCGTTTGGAATCTCTAACCCATAGATCAGTCTACAGCATTCTCGGGATCCAGTTTCCTTCCTTTCCTAAATAAAGCACAAGAGATGGACGGCATCATTTGGAGAAGTTATAACATGATGCTTTGTTCAAAGGAAGGTGTAAATTTCGAGAAGCAATTAATCACCCGGAAGATATGCTAATATATACAGAGGATTGATGTAGTTACCTTGGTTAATTGCTGCTGTGGCACAAGCCTTCATACGCCACAGAAGCAAACTGAAAGTTGCACGCCCTCGCGTATTGAGGAATGGATACAGGCTTAGCTAGATAGTATGGGAAACATCGGCCCATGCCTATGCATATACATTACCTGCTTTCCATGCGTATGCTTTGCTTTTTCTCTTTGCTTTCCCTCTCAAAAGCAAAAGCTGTGAATTCTTTGCTTCTGCACATCAGGACCCATCATCAGGTTCTTTGCTTGCTGCATTTAGTGGTCACAGGGATATAAAGGAAAAGATAAATCTAGGTAGTTTGCTTTGTTCTCTGTCATGTCATCCCGTTAGTTGACCAACTTATGCATGAGGCTACCATTCCCTTGTAAAGGTCATGAATAATAATAAATCTCGCATGAGAAAGAGTATTAAAGTAGTTCAAGCTATATATACTTGTATATATCATTATTTCATATAGCCATACGAGTGGATTTCATTTTCGATGACAAAATCTTACCACAGTAAAATTGGCGTGTGGACGCCTAGTACAAGATCTGAAAAAAAGGCATGCTTCAGCATGCCGGTAAAATCTAACGGTAGTCCCTCGCTGCAGTTAACACTTAACAGCATGCCGATAAAATCTAACAGCATTATCCTGATTGGCCTTCTTAACGACAACACCACTGGAAAGCAAAAGACAAGAAATCGTCCGCCAAACAGGATACTTATCCTCGGAGAGTAATGCTATGGTGAAGTTTCATCTTTACAAGACTTAATCGTGTTTGCGCCGTCAGGTACCAGAACATGATATCTGCTAACTTGAGAGGATCTGAAGCAGTAATTTCTAGTTGGAATCAAGTAAAAGCCAATTCCAATTCCTGTTTGGATGTGGAGTACTGTTTGTTAAGTAAATCTGTACATATTTGCGAAGTCATAATAATCACAACCGGTTATGAGCTTTCGTACTACCGCAAAGTTCCTTTATAGCTCAGGCTACATGGAACCTCTTATCCCCAACCCTCCAGCCTTGCTTTGAGATCCGTACTCTCCAACTAACTTACAATAAGAAGATTTCTCTTTTTTGTTTCTCTAAAATGAAACAACATATGAACTTCAAACTTTGCAGATCGAACAAATATTAAAACATCAGTGTGTGAAAAACTTTCAGATTTTTTGGTCACATATAAATATACAAAATGAGATTCTGTTTGACTAAAAATATTATTTTAAGTATTTAAAATGCATGAAAAAATCTGAAAGTTTTTTCCCAGATTGTAGTTAGAATGTATTGTTGTTCTGCAAAATTTGAAGTTTATATGTTGTGTCGTTTGAGAGAAACAAAAAAGACAAATGTGTCTGCACGGATCGCGATGCAGAAATGGTTGGCAAAGATAAGGGGTACCATGTAGCCCGAGTTACAGAAAACCACACTCACTCGTACTATACCTAGCTGTTCAGAGAAGTTGGTTACTCATTTTCATGATATTCATACATAATATTGGTTATAAATGTTTTAGGCTCCCATTTTATTTGGCAAAACATTGCCTGCCTGAAGGTTTTCTCCTCTCTCTCTCTCTCTCTCTCTCTCTCTACAAATTTTGTTTTGATGCTATAGCTATTCAAGAAATTTAGCTGACGTGCTGAGTTGTGTTTCAGGCAGCTGTGCGTTATATGACCTTTGATGTCTCCCACTAGAAGAGATGGAAGATAAAGAAAGAAAAGGCACACGAAGGTGTGAAGCAATTGAAAGCCAGTCTTAATATAGGGATCGTATCCCCCTGAGTGAATTGCATAAAACCACCACATTGAAGCATAGTTTTGCAGAAAAACACTCTTCTTCGAATTTGAGACAAAAAACACTAATTCTTAGCGTAATCTTTTGCAAAAAACACTAATTGATGGCTTAGAGCATTTTGATGACGATTATGACATGTGGGTCCTGCATTTAATGATGTGACGTAACGATTCATAGTAAACTACGTTAGGCTGGTCATTTTTGCAGAAAAAAAACTCCCTACAAAACTGAATTCCCTCCCCTACCCCGATCCAGATCGGAATCGGATCAAGGTCCCTCACGCCGCCATCCTTCCATCCTCCCGCCACCTGACGTCGCCGCCGGTGCCATGCGCCCCGCAAGCTGCTGATCCCGATCCCGTGATGCATCACACCACCTCCTCTCGCTGATTACCTTTTCGTCGGTTGATCTGGCCGCGAACGGTGCTGGGTTGGTAGCGCTGGCTGCTGGATCCAGTCAATGATGACGCAGGGGTAGCACTAGCACAGCAGGGGGGCTGGGGCTGTCCATGGTCGTGGCACCTACGGGAGAAGGCTCAGGGAGGGAGGAGGAGAGGTGAGAGAAGAAGGAGCAAAGGAAAGGGTTGGGTGGCACGGCGGCGCGGGATTGTCCTATCGTCCCACTGCCCGGAACAGGAGCTCGTTGACGCGCTGTGGGGCGCGGTCGATGTCATCGCCTTGCTGGCAGAGCGGTGCATAGACCACTGCCGGAGTTCGCCGACGCCGGCCTGCATCCGCCTCGTCCGCCCGAGGGGCGCCTTGCAGCCCATCTGTGTCAAGCTCCGCCATGGCCATGCCGCTGGTGAGCAAGGCGAGCTCCCTATCCGGTAGGCACGTACTGTCTCCGCCGCCGGCCATCTTGCTCACACCGGAGTCTGGGTCCTCGTGCAAGATGAGTGCCTGCGGGGAGCGCGTGCAGGGTGCCTGGCCTCCCCGGCGAGATGGGCGAGCTAGGGGCTGATTGCATTTTTCTATTGTAATGAGGGTGTCTATGCAAAATATCAGGGACTGTTTTGTAAATTTGAAACTAATCACTGTCTAACGCCATCTGTGCTGAACCGTTACGCCACGTCAGCAAATATATGGGACCAACCTGTCATAATTGTGCTTAAAACAACCTAAGGGCATGTACAATGGTACTATCTTACGAGTGCCACGTAGGATAAATGATGAGGTGGAGGAGAGAGACCTCATAAGAAAAGACTTGTCTTCTCTTATTTAAGAAAAGACAAGAGGTGATCTCTTAGCACAATATGTCTCACCACATTTTTAGGAATTGCTAGTTATTGAAGATAAGGCTAAGAGATGACCCATTATAGACAATTTTTTTGTCATCTCTAAATCACATGCAAGACGTAAGATAAGACTATCTTATCAACCATTGTATATGCCCTAAGCCGCCGATCAGTGTTTTCCGCAAAAGATTAAGCTCAGAATCAGTGCTTTCTGGCAGAAACTCGTATAAGAGTGTTTTCTGCAAACCTATGCTTTAATGTGGTGTTTTTTTTTGCAATTCACTCTTTCCCCCGGCGCTTTCATCACATGGCGGCATTCTTTATTCCTTCCTTGAGTTCCCGGCCTGATGTGATCATGTGAAGGGCAACGATAAAGACGAGTGGGCGGTGGCAATTGGTGAGCTCATCACTGTACCGCCAGCATCAATTCAGGTAATTCCTGGAGGGGAATTAATCGTAGATATTGCCTGCCCATGCTACAATTCCTGTCGGACTAGAGTGCCTCGAGACCTGATGGGACGTCCATCGTCCTTGATGAAGGTATCCGACGTCACTCTACATGTGTGCTGATGACGAGCCATCAAGAACGGACGAGTGTGCATGTATTGATTTCCTACAACTGATTGAGCAAATTACCATTATAAGCTACTCCCTCCATTCCTAAATATTTGTCTTTTTAGTGATTTCAAACAGACTATTACATACGAATGTATATAGACATATTTTAGAATGTAGATTCACTCGTTTTGCTCTGTATGTAGTCATTTGTTGAAATTTCTAAAAAGACAAATATTTAGGAACGGAGGGAGTAATATAATTACTTGCTCCGTCCCAAAATAAGTATCACTGATTAGCGACACTTATTTTGGGACGGGGAGTATATATTAGCTCTGTCTGGACACTACATCAATCTATCAATGTATTGATTTTATTTTGCAGCATCCTATAGTTTTTGCTTTCATGTTTTGTTCTGCAAACATATAGCCGTGCCAGTTCATGTATTGAGGTGGATTAAAAGCTTTGAGAAAATAGAGGAATGAATAAAGAGCGCCATGCATGTTCTTCGTGTGCAATGCTGTGGTGTGTGATTTGTATGCTATGGGCTGGTTATTGTAAAAAAATTAAACTATTGTGCACGCTTTTCCATAAATATTGATGATTATTTGTGTTAATCCCATTTTCTGAATTAAGGTCTCTTGTGCGGCTGAATCCTTTGCATGATTTAGGTCCCCTATCAGGCAGATGCTTGTAGTTTTATGTTTGCTCTCCTATAAATTTGCCATGATCATTAGAACTAGCTATATGTGCACACAGACACGCACTTTGATCATTGTGAACTCATTCTTTTCTAAAGTAGTAACACATAGCAAAAGAAATAAGATTAGGCAATATATCTTTATTTATGAAACATCCATCCGGCGACCTGCCTCCCACACTACACATTATTGACATATATTAGCGTATCCTTTCTATCAACATTGAAATCCTGGACATTTAATTCTTAATAAGATCCGTCGCAAAAAAGAATCTTAATAGGATGGTTTGTGTTGAGTACCACGTGCCTCCCTTGCTGCCCATTATAAGAGAGATGATACATATCCTTAGCTTTGTACATAGATGCCATATATACCTCCTCTTCATGTGCCACCAGTCAAGTGTTCCGCTCACATACAACTCTCCTCCTTGCCCAAGCAACATGTTGCATCTCGTCATGTTCTTGGCTTATCAATCACTTTATCCTAAGC